CTTGCACACAGGACGTTTTCGTCCTTTTTTGGTTCTTTTCCTTTGATACGTTCAAAGACACTGGGATGTGGTTTAGGATCTTCTTCTCCGTCATCTATGACTAACTTGAATTTTGGTAACTTGTTCTTGAATCCAGATGTTACCATGTTTACCCCAAGTGGCTGTGGGAAAGGATTCTCGTCCACTGCCATCTTTTTCTTATCGTCGAACGTAATTCGTCCTGACTCAATAGCATCCTGCAACACGTGACGAAAAACCAAGCAATTGTTAGTCAAATGTGACCATACATTATGCCACTTACAATATTTTTTACCCTTTATTTGTTCAGGGTTTGGCAATTTGTGCTTATCGCTCAGTTTTATTTGCTTATCCCTATATAACTTATCGAATATAAGGTCAGCTTTGGTTACATCGAGCGAGAACGTTCTAGCCTTTATGTTTCCATCCTTTACGGGTTCATCTTTGCCCGATGGTCTAGGTTTGGCCATTATGGGACAAGTATATGTATCCCCTTTTACTAATTCGGCCAAACACATTTCGGCCTGATCATACGATTCGTCATCGATGGTATGAACGTCAAAATTCGGGTCTCTGTAGTAAGTCCCTTTGCTAGAATTTTTTATTTGTTCTTCTTCTCTTATCAATCGCTCATACCTAATGACATTCGCACTTAACTGGAAAAGGTCGGGAAATTCCTTGTCTTGGAACTTCTTTTTTAAATCAAAACTTAAACAGCCTTGTGCGATTTTGACAAATTTTTTTTCGGGCAGAGGTACGAAACACTTGCTTCTTGCTGTTTTGAACCTTTGGAGAAAACTTTCTGCCCATTCATTTGGCATTTGACGTAAATTCGCCAAATCAGCCAAAGTGACTTCAGATTTAGTTTTGTAAAACTGAGCATGAAACAACTGTTCCAGTTGTTGCCATGTTTGAACAGAGTTCGCTGGCAAGTTAATGAACCAGGAGAAAGCTACTCCTGTTAACGAACTAGGGAAAAGTCTCATTTTGTGGTAATCGGTTACATCACCACTTTGCAACGTGAATCGCCCTATGTGTTCCAGGGTAGACACCTCTCCTAAACCAGTAAACAGTGAGAATTCTAGCACTTTGTACCCTCTAGGCCATGGATATGCTTGGTCAACCCAATCAGGATATGGCTTTGTGTAAGTCGGTCTAATGACAGGACGCACCCCAAAGGCCATCTGATCCTGCACGATTTCCATAATCTGATTTCTCAATATGACATTGGGATCATATGGAATTCCTACAGGCTGATTAACCGGTTGATTTGCATAAGGTCTGATGTTTGGTCCTTGATTGGCAACAAAATTACCATAATTAGGGCCATTACCATTAGCCTGGACATCTACCCCCTCGTTACCACGTGGAATATTCTGTCCATTGTTTAGGACATTATCTCTCACGTTTGGATTACCCCCCAAGTTAGGCATACCACTACTACTACTTTGATTTGGTATTGTAGCACCTCCTTGGTTTGAAGTACAGGGGCCAGCAAGTGGTTCTACCCCTTGACTTGGATTTGGGACCGAAAGATTATGTCCTACGATCGTCCTAGTTTGAAAGTGACTTGTGAGAGGTATAGGCGGCTGACATATTTGGCCTACTAATTTATTCATTGTTTCGTTCAATGTCTTTAGTTGTTTGGCCATATTGTCATAGTGTGCATTACCACTTTGTGTAAATCTTTCCATATTATGAATACTTCGAAGATTTACCTGCTCAACGACGTCTTGCGTGAGTTCTCCAAGCAATGCACGCATGGTTCGAGGACTCAGCTCCGTCATTGGTTCGTAACGACTGTTACTGCTCTGATTTTGTCCATCTGTTCGTGGAGAGGCATGTTGCTCCTCATATCGCTCGATTACAGACTGGATTCCTCCCTGACTTGCTCCTTCCTTGTCGGATCTCTGAGGCATGATGTTTCTCCTTTTGCACTTTCAACACCTAACACCACTGTCCCACCGGGCGTGCCAAATTGTTTCGCGCGGTTTAATTCGCTAACAATTAAAGAGGATCAGACGATTGTGTAAGGGACGAAACCTCTTAAGACAAAGTCCCAAAAAGGGGTGTTCTTTTATTGGCGATGAACTTTACAATTGGAAACGGAAAACAACGTGCCTCCAAGGGGCTCGTTCAACCGCTTTGGATTGAACCCCTCGAGTCGTGGAACGTGATAAAGTTACTTTAACAACTGCCTCAATAACAGCATCATAATGCGTTATGTTTGTTGATACCTTGGGCGACTTGAACATTTGGGCGAGACTTTGGACGACCGTATGCCACTCTATTCGTTCAGACTCTGAGCGACTTGCAAACTTGGACGATGGCGTTACCGCACTATTGGGCCCCTTATTTGGGCATTCACCTTGATTCGTTCAATTGGATTTCGTTCTTTGGGCTATCTGATTTGGGGATCCTCCCATTGGGTTTTATTCTCTGGGCTGTTCGATTTGGGCTGAATTTTTATGTGTCAACACGTTTCTTCTAATCAAAATAAATTTTTTCCCCCATAAAATTCGATATTTTTGCTTCTCATGGAATTAGCTATAACTCTTGATTTATTTTTTAGCTCTTTCATTTTTTTGGATGATTGTGTCGTCATAGCTATTGCAGAGTCATGCAATAGTGTCGATATCGTTAGTGATTTCATGTGATAATGTGCTTTAATAGTTTTCTTTTTGTATTTTGGACGTTGGAATGAATTATTAAATCTTGTGTTTTGAGACAAGTAATATTCCAAGGTTTAATCCTCTGGTCGGATAAGATGTTGGAGCTTACTATTTTTATTCAAGTGAATATTTCCAAGGGCAAGGTCCCACCATTGTAAAAATGGAAAGATAAATGATAGAAAATTTACGATAATTTGAATGTCAACACGAACGTAATGGGAGACCAAGGAGTTTTAAGACATTTTTGAGCGAATAGATTAGTCAAGTTCCAAATTCAGTGGAATAGTATACCAGCACGATCATGTAATCATAGTGGCATCCCAAAAATATATGATACTAACTGCAAACGCTGACCGCCCTACAAAACCCATAGAAACCTCAACTGCCGTTAACTGTCTCTATACTTGAAAAGGAAATTGTTCAGATTCGGTTATAGAAGAGTACTGGTTACGTTGAAAATAATTATTCACTTCATCTTTTGGTTAATGAACAAGAATTCTTTACTCATGATGGTGGCTAAGAATTAAATTTCATCTGTGACACAATTATGGATGATGGGTTTTAATTAGTTTTCCTGGTTGCTTCTTTATATAACTCATTTACCATCGTCTATGATAGTTTGGCTGTACATACTCTCTTATCATTTTCTTCCAGCCATGTAGGTTGTGCGCTTAATCATTAGTGAGTGTTCTTGAGAAATCTTGAAATTCTAACTCTTTTATTTTCATGTATTGATTTTTCTTTTAATACATAGATATGTGTACAACAATTGCTCGTCAGGTATTCTTATTGATCTGAAATCAAATTGTTACTGTAGCATTGAAATTTACAAGCATGACAAAGAAGAAAGAATAGCAAGAACCTGGGGTACCACTGCACGTGGTCTACCTTATGTCGAGGAAGCTATTACCCCTGCTGGAAACTGGCTGATCGATGGTGATTTAGAAGTAATAGAACCCATCAAGTACAATGATGGTCTTGATCGCTTCCGGCTTTCCCCTTCACAACTCCGTGACGAGTTTCTGAGACGTAACACAGATGCTGTGTTTGCTTTCCAGCTCAGAAATCTTGTGCACAATGGCCATGCTCTATTGATGACCGACACGCACCGTCGGCTTTTGGAGATGGGATATAAGAATCCTGTCCTCTTGCTTCATCCATTGGGAGGTTATACAAAAGCAGATGATGTACCACTTAGTTGGCGAATGAAGCAACATGAGAAGGTTCACGTGTTCTTAAATATATTGATTTTTTACTTCCTACCTATCAAAAGCCATTTTTCTAACACATTTTCCCCCCTTTCACGTCCTTCTCTTCATATTCGTTCTACAACTATAAGAATTAGAGTCGATTAACCTTTACAGCATGTCAAATTGATCATGACACAATTCGTTATGGAACGAAGAATGTTTAGGTATGATATCATATTAGAACTGTTGCTGATCTTGAAGCAATTTGTTCTTGTATCCTGAAGTTCTATTTAGCAGAGCTTGGCTAAGAAATAAGGAAAAGCAAACTTTTGTTCCCATGTATGTTTGAGTACTTTGATCTTACTATAAAGTAATAAAAGTTACTTTTGAAGAATTCTGAACGCTTACCTTAGTGTTAAAATAAGTAATTTATTTGTAACTAGATCAAGTAAAGAATATTTATTTGTCAACCAACTTATAAGTAAACATATCTGTAAGTGAACTTTTAAGCATAGCCAATCATGCTCTATTTCAATGTTGATTTTCATTAGCATCTATATTTTGTACAGGATGTGCCTTTCTTGAATCTTTTCATTTAAATCAACAACGAATGGCAAAATTATAGAATGACTTGGGATGCAAATTGTTGTATGAACTAGTACAATAGAAATAAGTTCCATTTATATACTAATTATTCATATTTTAACTGTTCTTTTAGGTGCTTGTGGATGGTGTTCTTGATCCGGAGACTACAGTAGTTTCTATATTCCCATCTCCCATGCACTATGCGGGGCCAACTGAGGTTCAGTGGCATGCTAAGGCTCGGATTAATGAAGGTGCAAACTTCTACATAGTAGGCCGGGACCCTGCTGGCATGAGCCACCCACTTGAGAAAAGAGATCTTTATGATGCAGATCATGGTAAGAAGGTTCTGAGTATGGCTCCTGGATTAGAGCGGCTTAACATTCTTCCATTCAAGGTACAAAAAGATCCTATGATGTATTTATTATGAGTTCAGTCGGTCACAACAATCTGAAGTATTCTCTTCCTACAGAAATTGAATGAAAAAATTTACTGCCATGATGTAGAAAAATGAAATATTGAATATTAATTGGTTATTATGGATGAACTCCAGGTGGCTGCTTATGACAAGACTCAAGGTAAAATGGCATTCTTTGATCCATCAAGGCCTCAAGACTTTCTGTTAATATCTGGCACAAAGGTAATTCTATTATTAATAGATTTTCTCAGCCCTCCTACCCCGACCCAACAATAGAAAAGAGAACCTCGAGCTCTGGGATCAAAACCTCAATATCCTTATGAGTGGTAGTTCTACGATTTGAAAATGCCAATCCGCTTACTCCGGCTCTGCTGTAGGATTTGAACCTACGACATCGGGTTTTGGAGACCAACGTCCAAGTGGAGAGGAAAAAAAAAAAAAAAGAATTGAACTTAAACAGTCGCCTGAGCATGGTCACTACGACCCCCTTTGTGAGGAGGCACCCCTGCTACCATAACTAGAAAAAGAGTTGAAGAAATATTGCTGTTTCGACGCAAGGACAATCCAAATATAAGATAAAATTAAGTTTTTCATGTTCATTTTGTTCGAGGATTTTGTTTTTCCATTTTCTGAATGATTTCCTTTTTCCAGATGCGAACCCTTGCAAAGAAAGGTGTGAATCCTCCAGATGGATTCATGTGCCCAGGTGGCTGGAAAGTTTTGGTCGATTATTACGAGAGTTTGGCTCCCTCTGGGGATGGCAGAGTACCTGAACCTGTCCCAGCTTAAATTTACTACATTATAATTGTGCTTGGGAGAAACATCAAACCTATTTATCTCCTATGTATCCTTGCATAAAGCTTGGTCAAAACTCTCTCCAGCTGAATAAGATCATACGAGGCATAGGTACAGAGTTTCAAGAATTGGCCTCAACCTGTAATATAGTGCTAAAACTGGCTTGTGAATTCGTGCACCCGTCTTGTGCACGCTGTATTATGTTGTGTTTAAACTGTGTGAAGAAAATGGATCGTGGGTTCCTGTTGAAATTAGTGATGGCAACGGGGCGGTTCAAGGCAGTTTTTTGCCTCGTTTATTGCCCCCCCCCCGTGGTCCCCCTCCCTTTTTTTTATTTTTATTTTTTTAAACACATTTTCAAAGTTTAGAGTTATACTATTAAATTCTAAAATACAAATTCAAAATTTAAAAATTCAAAACAAATAATGCTCAAATTAACATCAATATTCAAAGAAACACTCGAATTTTTTTTTTTTTTAATATTCACGGGGCGGGTTCGGGGAATTATGCTCCGCCCCATCCCATCCCCTGTCCTGCCCTATCAACCCATCGGGGCGGGTTTTTTTGCTCCATTCGAGGCGGGGCCCCATCGGGTGGGGCGGCACAGGGCGGGGTAAATTGTCATCTCTAGTTGAAATATGATTTTGTCTGTCACTGCCATCTTATTTTCACGCTTAGAAGTTAATGAAAGGGTGAAAGAGCATAAAAATGGTGCTTAGAATTCCATTTTTATGTTCCTAATCGTTTATTGATATTAATGACCTCCAACCATATTTTTAATAAATGGGGACTTTTTGAAGGATTAAATTAGTGTGAGAGAATGAAAACTACTTTTAAAAATTATTTATGTGAGGATTTCTTTTTATTTTTCAGTCTTTCTTAATACCTAATTACCCTTATATTTATGAATGGTGAGCTTTCTCATTCATTTTGAGTTTTCTGCTTAAAATATATGTCACGCGAGTATTTTGGATGGGAGTGAACTTAATAATGGATTTTGGCGTTCGACTTGTTTTTTCTGGGTGCATAAAGAGAGAGAAGAATAATGCATGCATGTTTGAGTGCAATGATGCACAATAGTTAGAATAGAAAATCATAACCCAATTAGAAAGAAGATAAAGTAAGACGGGCTTATGAAAATACGGGTAACTTTCAATTCGATTGTTAGGTTTACGTGAGCGTGTATAATTTAGAAGCGGTTTTCAATTCTTTACAATTTCGTTGGGTGAAAATATCAAACTTTTTTTTTTTTTTTTTTGGGTGGGGAAGACGACTGTGTGGGTTCAAATTTCACTGTTTAGAGGCCTATTTTGACATTTTTCTATTTTGAGCTAGTCTAGCAGTATTTTCGTCATTTTTATAGTTTCTTAGTTCCATTCGAATTTTCGACTGAATTAGGGTTTCGTTTTAATGCTTTGAATATGTTTTAAGAGTTTGAAAACCCTATAGTCGTATTTTGAATAATAATATTTCAGATTTTAGTATCTTGTGGGTTTTAGTACTTCTTAAATCCATTTGGACGAAATTCGAGCAACATGCATTTGTGTGTCATGTAAAAGATCTTTTTAGTACTATTATTCACATTTCCATGTTGCGTCATATAGGCTAAGTTGATGACTTGGTTGAATAGGGGGTTTAAGTTGATCTAGTTTCTCGTTGAGGATTGAGTTGGCTGAATTAAGAATATAAAAAATCCCTTGTTGGAGCCCCGTTTTGGAGGGAAAAAATGAAGTTATGAATAGTGTATTGATGGGAAATGTATGGTTAAAAAGTAAAGGAAAAGTTTTGAATTTATGTGTAATATCATTTTATTGAAGAATGTGATTAAAATAATGTCAAAATACTGTAGAAGAATGCATTTTTTCTAAATAATGGAGGCTTAAACAAGCTGTATATTTTGACCAGAACGTTATTTTCTATAAATAAACATTTTATACATTCTTTAGCAATTAAAATCCTACTATAAAAAAGGGTAACAGAGTAACTGTTTGCTCTTTTTGGTGTAGATTAAAAGTTGATAAAACTTTTGAAGTAAAGTCAATTATATTTAATTACACATTACATGAAATTCACAACTTTCCAACCACACATTTAATCAACTTTTATCAAAATTTACTAAAAATATGATTTTAATCTGCATCAAACATGGGCAAAATCTTGTTCTTCAAAATTCCTCTTCGTGTATTATGCTGCACCTCCAAAAACATTATCACATAATGCACAGCGACAGCCACAGCCACATTTTCCCTTTGTTTGAGGCACCAGCCATTCAATTTCAGAGGAGCATCAAATATGGTTATACTAAGATTTAGCACATAAAAAGTAAGAAAGACAAATAAGAGTTTTGAGAAAACTATATAATCTCCTTGTTAGAGATTCCCTTTATATAAAACATATAAACATTTATTTACAGTTCTTAAAATAGGAAAACTATCGCATACAAAGCTATCTGTAATTATTCTACAAGTTAGTACATCCTAAACTAATAAAAAATAAATAAAAAAAATCAAAGATTACAACAATAGATTATCCAGGAATCTGTTGTAGAAATTGCCGTAGAATGCTCAAAACCTGCTCGTTGATTTTAGGTGTAGAAGGCTGAGAATAGATTCTGTTGGTGACTTTCCTTTGATATCAACCTTCAAATTGATGTTGATAGATTCATAAGCATCAATTTGCTAACTAGGAATGGCATTGACGGGTCATGAATTCGATGAAGATATCTGCAAGCTGTAGAGAAAGATGAAATGTGTGGAAGGGTCATAACCTTGTTGTCAAAGGCATCTCGGATGAAATGGTAGTCAACTTCTATGTGCTTCGTGTATTCGTAGTAGACTAGGTTTGCGGCAATTTGGAAGGCACTAGTTTTCGCATGTAATGGAGTACGCTGAACTTGGGAGAAACCAAGTTTTGTAAGGAGACCACACATCCAAATGATCTTGGAGCATGCAGAAGACATGGGGCGATACTCAACCTTAGCGGATAATTAGGAGATGCAGTCACGCTTCTTGCATTTCCAAGATATAAAAGCATCACCAAGGAACATACACCATCCAGTAGTAGGTTTCCTGGGTTTTGAACAACATGTTTACTCAATAGGCTTGGGCACGATTTGGTTTAAGTTGGTTTCGACTCCAACTTAAAACCAAAACTAAATTAGTAGGTTTGTGTGAATTTAAATCCAAGCCAATCCACTTTATCTCTTAAACTAAATCAAACTAAATCAAATTGGTTTGGTTTTATTCGGTTCGGTTGGTCGGTTTGGAATTTTAGTTCAAATTGATTTTTTATTTTAAAAAATTGTTCTAGCTTTGGGTCCACTTAGAATACAAGAATTAAAAAAACTAAATAACTTTATATTACAAGAACCATTGATTAGTAAATAAAATCAAATTAATAGAGACAGAGCAAACAAATTTAAGAATTTTGTTGCTTTTTATGCATTATATAACCCGACTGTTTGAGTAGGAATAAGGAAGTGTATAATATAATGAGCTTGTGAAAGAAAATTCACATTGCTATTTTTTACTTGCAACATCATAGATTGGAGGGAATCGAGATATAATTCTGAGATTAGGGTTTATTTTTTAATTTTTATTTTTCTTCAAAAAAATGTAAACATGCGAGTAGGTTGGGTCAGTTTGATTAACCAATGGTTTGAGGCTTCAAACCATGACTGAATTGACCCAACATTGTTTTTTGTTTAAAAAAACCAAACAAAACCAATTATTTGTGTCAAACGACCCAAAGCAAGCGAGTTGATTCGATTTGATTGGTTTGATTAATTTTTGGTTATTTTACCTAGGCCTACTCAGAATCTCAGTAGGCTTCTAGTGGGAATGAAGTATGAGTAACGAAGAAAAAGCGACAACTAGGTGTGCTAAGGATGTAGGGAACGATGCGACGGACAACAACAAGGTAGAGATGTCAATGTGTTTGCATGAACTTGTTGACGACATGGATTGAATAATAGATATTCGATCGAGCAAATATATAAGATTACCACCCAACTTTTGATAGAGAAAGGGTCATCAAGGAGCTTCCATTCGTTACATCTATATTTCACATTAATTTCCATTGAGGTGTCCACCGAAGTATTTTTTGTGAATTTTGCTATCTGAACCAAATCCTGAATATATCGGTCTAATTTAGGAAGAGACCCTAAGGTTCATGAAGCACCTTTATCCCCAAAAGTAAGTGAGCTAGCTAAGGTCTTTCTTGTGTGAACTAGAAATGCAATAATTTTTTAATTGAACAGACGGTTGCAATATCTAAACTAGTAATAATAAATTCGTCTATATAAACAAGGTTGAACTTTATGCCATTAAAGGTCCTCTGTAGGAAAGAGAGGAGTCATATTGACTTTAAGTGAATGAATAGCCAAGGAGAATGGTTCAAAAATTTTCAAACCATGCTCTATGTCCCTGTTTCAAACCATACAAAGAATGTTTTTAGTTTGCAAGCATGAGTTGGTAAGGAAGCAAGCATTCTAGAAGAAAATTTTATGTAAAGGTCCTCCTTGAGATCATTGTGTAGAAAATGCATTTTTAACATCCATTTGATGTAGGGGCCATGATTGAGGGCGACAAGGGCTAGTATTGTTTGGATGGTGGTCTTCTTGGCCACTAGTGCGAATGTCTTATCATAGTGTAGGCCATACTCTTGCTTGTCATTAAGGACCACCAATCGATCCTTGTACCTATATAAAGAACCATCACGATGAAGTTTAATGGAGAATAACATTTACTCCCAATTAGTTTCACTGATGAGAAAAATAGAACAACATCTTAGGTTTTTTTTTTGTTATGTTTTCATTTTTTGAGTGAAATTCTGTTTCAATAGCTATTTGCCAACACTAATGCTCTACTGTTTGTTTATAACACAAGGGAAAAGGAATAAAAGATAAAGTGGCCATCAAGGATAAAGGATGAGTGAAACTAACGAACTTGAGTACTTTGCTTGAGAAGGAAAGGTGTAGTTGCTAAAATAGGATTAGCAGTTGGGGGATGACGTGGAGAGGGCTCAGGAGGTACTAGAAATTGATTTGATGTAGAGCG